CAGAGAAAAGGCTCGCACGAACATCCTGTCGAACATCCCGCCAGGAGGATCCCGCCTGTCCTGCCTGGCATTTCCGCGGGACGCTCGCAGGATTGCTGTCTTTGAACGCAGGAAAGAGATGCGGGTTCATCGGCGCGCGATTCATCATCGAGAAAACTCGCGAACGATAAACTCGAGAGAGAGAGAGAGAGAGAGAGACACGAGCTGGAAAGTCGATGCGCGACCGATGAGACACGACAAAAAGAAAGAAAAAATAATCATTCATATCGAGATACACACCTCCGCGTCGTTCGTCGTCTCTCATCGCAGCGCAATCGCATCGCAGGAAGGATCGCATCGCGGAATGAAGAGATCCCGAGTAAGCTAGCGTGAAAACGCTATCGGGAGAAATAAAGGCTGCGCGCGCTCGTGTAGAATTTCCTTCCACCGTTCCGCCTCGATAAATAATTGCAAGGGGAAACATGAAGAGAACTTTGGCCGATACCGTGTACGTACGTCGTGCATGATTGTGAGCGTGCGGGAGGATGTACGCGTACACATACAAACACACACACACACACACACACACATGTACGACTTTCTTCTATCATTCCAGCTCGATAAATAATCGCATGGGGAAGAGCGGAAATCCTAATATCACTGCGCTGCGATCATGGCAGGCCACGACCCGGCAAACGTATCTATATATCGCGATGGACCAGCCGCCCCTTGCCGCCCCCGGCAGGGCGCGGTAATCGCGTTTCGTGTTTTTCTAAGAGCGCACAGTCGGCTCATATCCAGAGCGAGCGAGCGATCGTTCGGTCGGTCGTTTCGTTCGTCCGTTCGTTCGTTCGCGGCGAAGCCGGCACGAGAGCCGTACGAATACGTAATTTTACGCGTGTTTGTTTTACGCACGTCGGCAGCAGGGCAGGAGGGAGAAAAGGAGCGCGAGGGGGGTCTATACATCGTCAGAGCGGAGGTGTCTTTACCCCCACACCCCCGCCCGTTGTTTGTCCAGAAGATGGACTGACCAGCGGCGAAATCCACTCGACATTGGCGCGCCGGTATATGTGCATGATTGAAACGAAATTATGAATAAATATTTGCCGATAGAAAGTACCAGGCGCGCAGCACCGTCTCTCGTGAGAGACGCCAGACGCGCGCCGCCGGCAGCCAGCCGATCGAAATTCTGATATCGCGAAACGGCAGAATCGAGCGCATAATTCTCGCCTAGCGCCTATCGTGCAAAGGTCTGAAGGACCTTAACCCATTTGCATCATAGCTCTGAATACGCAGCTAGCTTCAGAAATCGGAGACGTTCAAGTGATGGTCGGCCTGTATCACCGCGCATCACCGCACATCATTGGCGAAAGCTGAACGTCGTCGTGAATGTATTATTCCGCGGTTGGTATATAAGTAAATGTGTCGTGGCTCGCGGAATATTCCGCGACTGGTGATAAGTGACGATCATAGTTGCTGCCGGTTGTTACAACTTCTTGGTAAGTTAACTTGACAGTTAAATCATATATTTTGTCCTTGTTTTGCCTTCAATTTAGACAAAGATAGACGTATGATATGATTTAATGGATAATTTAATTAAGAGAGACTTAACATGATAATTAGATACAATATGATTTAACTATCAGTCAATGTACCAAGGAATTGGAAAAACCAGTCCTATGTGCGGATTATTCCGCTTGCGGATGCAAGTGGGTTAACCGGCTTACGGTTAGACCCGAGTCTGACTCGGAGTAAGATTCACTACCCTCGTGTCCGCCATTTTTGGTCCGCCATTTTGAATCTTGCAACAACAACCTCAAGTTTTAAATCAGCACGTTCGAAAACTATTATAAAACACGAGAGTAAATATTTTCCTCCGCAGAAAGAATTTAACCATTTTGATACTGATTTTTCTGCCAATAAATAGTACCGCAAGAGGGTTAATTCGCCGAATCGTGCGTGCGTGTGCAACGAAATCGTGCCTTCGAATGCGCCAGTCGAATCGTCCAGCGCCTCGCTGTTCCGCCGGCGATCGAATTTCCGCGCGATCGCGAGCGACGCGATTTCCCCGCGTAGCGGGAATAAAAGATCACGGGCGGAACAGGACTGTTGTCGCCTGGCCCTCCGCCGTCCTTCTGCCGCGAGAGCTAACGCAAATACGCACTTTTCGGCACGCATGTGCGCAGGCGAACGCTCAGATACGCGCCACGTGTCTTCACGTGCAGAAGCCGCGTGCGGGCCGGAAGTGAGCGCCGGATACTTTGGCCGTAATGCAACGTACGAGATGTAAGTCATCGATATCGTGAACCTGCACAATGCTTAATGGCCCGGTGACTCACGGCCGGCGCGCACCCCCCCCCCCTTCTCCCGGTCTTCTTTTTCAGGCGAAACGCCGAGACGCTGCTCCGTCCCGATCCCTCTCGCTTTACATGCTGGCTAAATTCCTCGGACCGAAATCCCGCTCGAAAAGCGCCGAGTCGCGAGATTTCGAGCGACTGATCGCCCTTGGGGAGCGAATTCTCCGCCCTGATTCGTTGAGCGGGTCTATACTTTGAATCAGAGTTGAACAGCGAGTCTGATGCGCTCCACCATCGCAGGACCAATTCACTACGATCGATTGAAACAATCGCTCGAAATCAAAATCCGCCCCAAGCTTGAATGAATGTTGAAGCTTAAGCGTTCACTCTCGCGATCGTCCGAGCGCTACGCGATTCTCGACAACGCCGCTTCGAGCGACTTCCGCTCGCGGTTGCGGAGACCAAGCCAGGCCAGATCGCCGCGCCGGTGAACCGGAAAGAATCACGCTTCGTGCGAGCCATCTTGAGGACTCTCGTGTCCGTAGAATTCCGGTTCCTGCCGAAGTGGAAGCGCGCGCGAGCGCGTCTACGCGCTACCTGTGGGAACCGCGCGACCCTCCTGAGCGCGTCCAGGAGGCGATCAAAAGGTCCGCGGGAAAGATATTACATAATACGGAATACAAGGACTGTCCGTGGGGTGGCTCGTGAATTTGGAGCGACGCGACGCGACGCGAAGAATGGTCGATCGGCGCGAGGTGCAAGAAAAAAAAAAAGAAACGGGCACGCGATCCACTATACCCTCTTTCCCCTTCCTCCTTGCTCCTTCTCCCTCGGCTCGCTCTCCTGCCTCTTTTTCGCCCTTCGTCCTCCTCGCCGTGTTCTCTCACCCTTGATCGCGTGACGTGTGCTGGACGTGTGTGCACGCGACGACGCGCGGTGCACAGGTCTCGTGATACGCGCGCGCGTCGGCGCCCGCTGCGACCGCCGTGTCCTTTTCATCGGCCGCCCGCCCGCCGCGCCGCGCCGCGCCGCGCCGAGCGGGCATGTAAACGTTGCCTCGTGCATCTCAGCGAAGTCAGTCGATTCCTTCGCAAGCGCGAGGTCGCGGAATTCGCCCGACTCCAGATAGATCTCGAGTCGCGCGATCCGTGAAGAGGGCTTCGCGCGAAGCTCTTGCCCGCGTGTGCGAAGGATCGCCTCCTAGGATTTGTCAGAGAGCGCGAACGACGGTAATAATCGTGAAAGCAGAAAGAAACGGGACTAGGGACGATTAAAAAAGAATCTATAAATTTGCGCGAGGTTCTTTCTCGCGGGGTTGTTTCGCTCCGAGGACTCTTTTACACGAGGTCCGCAATTTTCCCTTTACAACACCGAGCCACGCACATTTCATGCAAATTCTCCCACTATTTTTCTCTTCCTCCCGTCCTCCTTCCCTCGCCCTCTCTCTCTCTCTCTCTCTCTCTCTCTCTCTCTCTCTCTCTGCAGCCGCTCTCTCACCTTCTGCGCTGCACGTCGCATTATCGGTCGATCGCCACTGAAAAGTTAACGATACGATTAGTCAGCTTCGTTCCCAGGCAGCCAAGGATAATCATGCGAGCGCGTGCCGCGTACGATTCCTATGTGAACTTTATCGCGCGATCGCACCCTCTCTCCCGCGGCCGGCCCCCACCTCGCGGAAGGGTCGCCCTCGACCCTTCCGCACCGCCGCGACACGCGTGGACGTCTCCGCCGCGACGCACGAGCGTGCGAACGCCACGTAGAGGGTGGATCTCGCGGGGAGGGTGGCGGCGGAGTGATTTCATGGTGGCGTGCGTATTATTGCTCGAAGGGGCCGCGGGCCTGGGCCTGGGCCGATTGTCTAATCGGACTTATCTCGATTTTATCAGCAGTTACCGAACGATGCGCGAAATGAAGACGATTTCAAGGAGACGATTTCAAGGAGACACGCCGCACCGGTGTGACTTGCGATCTGCCGAGCGCGAACGCTCGACGTCTCAAAGGTACCGATTGGACGCGACATCCGGACGCGAAATGAATGCGAAATTGGAGAATCGACATGGAGCGATAGGGACGCGGTTCCCAGCGTTCCCTCGACGAGCGCGGCGCAGCCGCTCAAGGATTCACGCACAGCAGCCTGCGAAAGGGCAGTTTCCGGCCGCCGCGCCGTCTCCTCCGTTCTCCTCACACATCCGCTCGATCTGACGAGCGGCGAGAAGATCACTTCCTCGTCGGTCTCCTTGACCGAGTGCAGCAGAAGCCGCGGTCGCGCACAATCAAGGGCCCGCACGCTCGTCAGACGCGCGCACGCACGCACGCACGCACGCACGCTCGCACACGAGTCGCCGCGGACGTTCCCACGAAAGTCGCCCCTCCTGATTTTCGTTCCCCCTTCGGCGCACTGAGCAGCCCTCTCTGTCTGCCTCTCGCGTGCGCTCTCTCTCTCTCTCTCTCTCTCTCTCTCTCTCTCGCTCCCATTCTCTCGCTTCCTCCCGGCTGTCGTCGAGAGACGCTTTTCACCTCGACGACCGTAGGGCCTCCGGTGCCCCACTCCATCCCGAAGGGCGCACACCTCCGAGCATCCCCACTCGTCGCTGGACGACGACGGGCCACGCGGTCGTGTGTCGTCCCTGCGTCCTCCCGCACACGACATACGTCGGCCGCCACGCGACCAGTGCACACGCACATCCTGCAGCAGCATCCCGGCAGCAAGTTAGCAGCAGCAACGGCAGCAGCAGCAGCAGCAGCAGCGACGACTGCCGCCGCCGCCGCCGCCGCCGCAACGAGCGAGAGAGCGGGAGAGAGTGCGCACGATTTCTTCTTCCACGAGCACGCCACGCGACCGCGAACGACGTCGGGAAGCCGCGGCACGTGAGCGCCGATAAACTCCCACCGGCGTCGCGAAACAAGTGCCGGACCGAGTGACTGCTCCTTTCGCGACCGCGACGAAGGCCGTGCCCGCACGCAGGACTCCGCGCCACGCGGCGCCCGCGATTATCCGCACGCGAGTTCGCCTCGGTGACATCCGCGAGCCACGAAGCTCGCGATCTCGAGCGCGCGCTGCGCACGATGCGCGAAAATCCCGCGAGTTTTCATCCGCGTACTGGCGACCGCCGCGCGCTCGCGGCAACGAGACCGAGGGTCATCTTCGGATTTTCAGAGGTTCTTCGGAGGAAGTCCTAGTTCACGTCTGTGCGAGACGCAGGACCGCTCATCTGGCGGCAAGTGCGCATCGCTGTGACAGAAGAAGTCGTGGACACAGCGCGGGCAGTCTTCGCGGTGCGAGTGCGCGACTTACGCTGCGAGATCGCACATCGCGATTGCTCCCCTTCGAGTTCGATCGCCGAGCGCGTAGGGTGATCGCGACGTGTCCCGTCGGCGGCACGGTGTGTCGATGCTTATCGAGGAGCGCTAACGATCGCACCAGGAGGCTACGTCGACGGTACCGCAATGCGGCTGCAATGACAGCTCGTCTGTGCATCGTTATGGGCTCGATAATCGGCGATAGTCGGTAACGCTAGCGATCTCGTCCCTCCGAAGCTGCGTCTTTCCTCGGATCGATCCCTCCCCTTGGTCCGTCCACGGTCGCCACGACAGCCCCGATCCCGAAGCGCGAGCAACATGTGGCGAGTAGTGGTCGCGCGTTCCGACGACAACAGCACTCTGCTGTCCTCCGAGATCACTTCCGGCGCGGTCGCGCCCGGTCATCTGCCGAGCCTGCCGGCGCCGCCGTCGGGTCACCATTGGGGTTACCCGCCGCCGCCTCATCATCCACCCTATCAGCCGACGCAGCACCCGGACATGCGTCACCACCATCACCATCACCACCACCACCACGACATGCGACCCCCGGCGCCGCACGAGCTGCGGCACGCCGCCGGTGACCCGAGGAGCCAGGAGCTGCGGCACCCGGAGATGCAGAGGCACCAGGAGCTGCCGCGGCACCAGGACATCCATCATCGGCCTGACGTCGCCAGGCATCAGGACATGCCGGGGATGAGGGCCGACATGCCGGAGATGCGGTCGAGTCACGAGTACTTGGAGCTGAAGATCGACACCGAGCTCCGAGCTCCGGAGAACAGTCAGCCGCAGCCGCAGCAGCAGTCGCAGCAGCAACAGCCGCAGCAGTCGCAGCCGCAGCAGCAATCGCAATCGCAGCAGAGTCAAGTCCACCAGCAGAGGAACCTGAAGAGGGCCATGAGCGACTCCGACTGCGACGACGTGTTCTCGGAGGAGAGCGGCAAGGAACCGTACGTATGCTCATCCGGGAATCCTGCCCCCTCCCTCCCCCCCCCTCCTTCCATCTTCCGAGTCGAGGGAGCATCGTGACCTTGAAGTCCGCGCGAAGTCCGAGGAAATTCGACTCGCGAGGACGGTCTAGCGACCGTCTTCCATCCGCTTCCATCCGCTTGACATTGCCGATGCCGGCGCGACATATGTCCTCTTTGTGCGGCGACAAGGTCGCAATTAGTCGCGACATTGTTTCAGCCCGTACGCTGAAAATTAACGAGCTCGTTTTGTCGCGCGCGCCGCCTCTCCACCAAGTCTCCTCATTAACAATACGTAATTAAAACTCTCGGCCCCCCTCCCCCCACTTTCTCTCTCTTCCGCACGTGCGACCAGCCTCTCTCTCTCTCTCTCTCTCTCTCTCTCTCTCTCTCTCTCTCTCTCTCTCTCTCTCTGTCCCCTCCTCTCTCTCTCTCTCTCTCTTTCTCTCTCTCTCTCTCTCTCTTTGTCTGTCTGTCTCGAGGCTAACCCCCCGACGTTGATCGCGACGTTGCAGATGCAACTCGCCCGGAGGAGACTCCTGTCAACACGCGTCGCGGAAACGCAGGAGGGGGATGATCGAGAAGAAACGCCGCGACAGGATCAACGCATCCCTCGGCGAGCTGCGGCGGCTGGTACCGGCGGCCGCGCGGGACCCTCACAGCGGAAAACTCGAGAAAGCGGAGATCCTGCAGCTCACCGTCGAGCATCTGCGTACGCTCCGCAACAAGGGTGAGTTTGCGCGTCTTCGCCCTCCTCTCAGTTTCCCTCCGTCCAACCGGCCGGAATGCGTGCCGGAATTCGAATTCGCGGTCTCCGCGTATCATCCACCAAAGAATCGCTCCGAAACTGACCGTCTCGCGTTTTCGCACATTGCTGATTTTTCCCCCCTAAAACGCGGGCGTTTAAAGCAAAGCGATTGATTAAATTGATATCTAATTCATCAGGGTGAAACTTCTGATATGAATTATTTGGAAATATTCTCGTTCCTTTTTGCGCTTTGTTGTGCAACAATGTTCGTTGTTAACCGCGAGGTCGACAAAGTGCGAGTTAACTAACTGCTGAGTTACGTAACGGGTGTGCAGAGGGATGTGTAACGGTGTCGAGTAATAAGAGCCGTGATTCCGGAAGGACCTGCCCCGTACCTCGCTTCGAGCGCGGGAACGATCCTTCGGGATCAATGAGATTTTTTGCTCGAGATTTCTCAGACCCGAGGTTTTAATAACGAGCTCTGCCGAAGGAAGGAGCCGCCGCCACACCCGCAGCAATTTCAGTTTTACGCCGTTATTACGTATCTCTGTTATAGCCTGTCATAGCTCTGTCGGGTCTTCTCTCCTCTCTCTCTTTCTCTCTTTCTCTCTCTCCTCCCTCCGCTTCTTTTTTTCTTTTTACCGGAAGACACCTGTTGGCCGTGAGGGCCAACAGCGGTAACTGTAACTGCCTAACCGAATGTCCATCTGGCGCCTCTGCGTTTCCTTATTAAGGCAGATTCGAGAACGATTACGAACGTGGACTCGCCATCGTGATCGATACGACTCGGTGTATCTGCAACCGCAGACTGTTTTTGTATCACTTCACGTTTGCATCACTACAAAACATTTCGATATTCCCGAGACATATTTCTCTCTTCACGAGGTAATCGCGTCGTTCATTATTTCCTCGTTAGAGGAGAACAGCGCGGAACGCTCGGTCGGTCGGTCGAATTGTTTATCGGGAAGAAGTCTCGGGAAAAGATCCCGCCAGCTTGAAAACGCAAGCGAAAAATCCGCTCGCGCGATCTTCCCGCGTGAGTATCGCGTTGATACGGTTAACGTTACTCCGACGCTGCTCGCTGCTAAAGCGAGATGTGTATCTCTCCCCCGATATTATCGCGCGATCGTGTTCCTCGAAGTATTCAGCCTGAGACGGACGCGCACGAGGAGGAAACGAGCGAGGCGCCTGACGAACAATCGCGGAGGGACGGCGGCATATGCTGGCCGTGAAGGCCGCGGCGAGGAGCCCGCGAGTAAACGGGATCCTCGGAGCAGGTGCTGGACCGGGCGCGGAGATCCTGTGGGAAGCACAGGAAGTCAACGACTCTCTGGAAGTGGTGTTCCCACGATTGGTGGCGGAGCCGCCGGGGGTGAGGTGTCCCGCGCGGCACCCCTCTCGCGAGGGAGGCGCTCGGCTCGGATCGGCCTAGGGCAGATGTCGAACCCTGTGGGAAACCAGCTAGCATAAGAGTGCACGGACACGCGGGCACTGTGCACGTCCGCGATTGTGTGCAGGCCGCCGCGCCGCCTTGTTTGTAAATGCGTGCTCGGCCGAGCGGGCCGGGGCGAGGGGAGGGGCGCGAGGCGCCCCAGAAGTGAGCGATATTAAATGTAATATCGCCAAATAAAGCGATCGCGAGCGGCCGAGAGAAATTAGCGACGCGCGCGTCTCCGACATCGGCCGAATGTCATAATTTCGGGTCTTTCCCATTGATCGCAAACCGCGACACGCCTCGCGAAATTCTTCTCCTCACCGTCCGCGGAAGATCCGTCCGCGGGCTCAATCGCCCTCGAGTCTCAATCGAACCAACGGGCAGATGATTAAATTAAATCCAGACTAAACGACATTAATTCGAAATAACGACGTCGACTGAATCGACTGAGATTAAATGACAGAGGCAACACGACAGCTAATTAAACGACGATTAAAAGCGCATTCCCTCGGGACACCTCGTGCGAGCGGAACTTCCGAAATCTCGCCTATCGACAGATTAAACGCAAATTAAACGATGATCGATCGCGCGCGTGATTCGCCGCGCTCGGTGATGTTTGCGCAGCGCGGCTCTGAGAACTCTTGCATAGTAATACAACGTGGGACACTCTCCGCGCTCGTACGCGCGTATGCACGCGTGTGTGTGTGTGTGTGTGTGTGTCTCGCATGAGGCCCGGCCTATGGGGGTCTAAACGATTCCCACGCTACCTGTCCCATTCCACGTGTGCACAATGAGCCGCCTGCTGCTAAAGCCAAGGCGCCCATCTCGCCTCGGTGCACGTATGCCGGCATTGTTGCGCCGCGAAACTAAAACTGCACAAAGGATCTCCGCGTCCGCAGATGCACTTCGCTGTCGATCCACGACTCGCCCGGGGAGAGAGAGAGAGAGAGAGAGAGAGTCGGCAGACTCTCACGGAAAAGCCCGGAAAAGCCCGGAAATACGCGCGCGGTTTTCTCGCGCGATGCACCCTCAGAGATAACAAACGTCGCGCTGTACGCCGCCGGTACTGTTGTTCGAGATAACAAACGTCTCTTCAGGCTAAACTCTCTTCCTTCAAAATACCACATCACTCTGGCGTCACTTTTGCAAAACTCAAAATTAACCACTTTCCCCACGATGAGAGTCCACTGTCGGACTTCGGAATGTCCATTCGCGAGTATCCGGTGGCTTTCGTGAGGCTCGACATGCTCATAAATCTCTCTCGGACAATCAGAATTCACGACACGGTGACGAGCGAATCGTCGGGACTCGAATGTCGTGTGCGAAGGGATGACGAGGATGAAGACTTATCTAATCTCACTCGAACAAATGACGCTTGCAGGACCGGAAGGATACGACAGTACGAAGCTCGCGATGGACTACCACGCGGTAGGCTGGGGCGAGTGCGCCGCCGAGGTGGGCCGTTACCTGGTGACCATGGAGGGCCTGGACGAGAGGGATCCCCTTCGGCTGCGCTTGCTGTCGCATCTGCAGAGCTTCCATCGCGAGCACCCGCCGTCGGGCGCCGTCCCGTCGGCGGTGCCGTCGGCCACGACGTTGACGTCGTCGTCCACTGCCAGCGGCTACGAGCCGCCGAGCACAGTTTCCAGCGGGATGCCAGCCGGCCCGGGCAGCATGCAGCATCTGTTGAGCAGCAGTACCATCGGCTGGAGCCAGTACCCCGGTCAGTATCCCCAGCAGCAGCACGGCAAGCCTTATCGACCCTGGGGCACGGAACTGGCGTACTGATCTCGAGGCTGTCGACGCGCGACCGACAGCCTTCGTCGAGTCGAGTCGATCGGCGCAAGAGCGGTGTGTGAGTCGGCGAAATTCCGATCAACGGATGAAAGAATCTCTCCCCGAGAGTTTGTTTAAACCACCCCTCCCACACCAAACAATCACGGGGACGGCCCGTTTCCGTTTTCTTGCTGTAGTCGTAGTAAAGCGGTAGCTGTAGTGTTGAAGTTAAAGGGAAATCTCGCGGCACGCGGTGTAGGTAAATCTTTCGTCGAGTGTTCTCTATCTTTGCGAATAATTAGCAGTATTTTTTTACGTGTAGAAAGGAGGAGAGTCTAGCGTACGGGATAGCCCGCTCTATGCCGATCGCGCGCCGGCGTGTGGATGTTGCATCTGATGAGTTACTGATCGTTACTGCGTTACTTTCCGACGTGCACGTTCGTCCTCACGTCGACGTCGCTTCATCGATTGCGACGTTAAAGAAATGTATCGGGGAGAGATGTGAATGCGATTTGCCATTCGTGAGCCACACGTGACCGTAAAGTGAGCGGCGAGCTTCGTCGTTCGCGCGTCGTACGTGCGATGTATGCATTTTGTACGATATTTCGACAGCTCAGAAAACATATCTCAGGAACTTCGAGCTACCAAAAGTATGTATGTAAACCGACGTGTTTTCAATGAGTGAGATAATGATAGTCATGCAAGTACCTAATTAGAGTAATACTAATTTATTGACACGGGACTCTGTATATGTATATACACGGACTGTACATACGCTCGTGTAAATAATCAGACGTATTCGTAACTTTATCGGTCAACTTCGTAATCTCGACCACTGATTTGCGACACCGTCGTTTCTCCGCTCCCTCGCTCCGTCGTTATCGAGCGATAAGCGATTACGCGAGTGCGCAAAGTCCGACCCTCGCGCAGGAGGAGGGGAAAGAAGTGTGAGAAAAAAAAAAAGGAAAAGAAGAAAGACGCAGACGGAAAGAAGAAGAGAAACGACCGTCGTACGCATTCGGAACGTGCCATTACGCATTTCAGTGTATACGTGTCAGAGAGAGAAGCCTGAGTATTTTTGCAATACGACTTTGTAAGAAAACGATAACACGACAATCCAAATAGAACATGTCATAGTGTGTGTGTGTGTGTGTACGTAAAATTATCCCCTTCCCTTTCCCTGCGAGAAAAATCAGTCGATAATGCGCGCTTCCGAGAATCGCGAAACTAATCGCAATTCGCACGAATGATAACCGCGCGGGACCGAAGAGGAGAAAGAAAAGGAAACACATTACCTGTCGCGTATAAGAGCGTTCTATATTCTTATCAGATCGACTGACGTCGAGTACGAAACAGGAAACGCGAACCCGCCTCGATCGATGGCGAATTCGCGAATTCCGGGCTCTCTCTCTCTCTCTCTCTCTCTCTCTCTCTCTCTCTCTCTCTGCCTCTCTTTCGCTTTCTCCCCTCTCTCACCCCCATGTTTGCCCGATTCTGGGTCGCGGCGGGACACGATGTGGGTAAACCGCCTCGTACTTTTGCTCGTCGCACGCGCGCAAACGAGCGGGCTTTTGTGCGTTTTACGCAGCCTTGCCTGACAAAACCGACACAAATTTGCGGACGAGAGCGCGCGAATTTACACATTCGGGCAGGCGTGTATGCGCGTCGCTCTTTTCCCCCTTTCTCATGCAAAACACTCCCTTCGCAGACGCGGAATATTCCCGGCCACGTAGAACAAAGGGGATTTACGACCCTACCCGTTCGCATTATATCCGCAAACCAGTTTCGCGAGTCGTTAGTTTCGCGACATAGTTCGCGAAACGCCTTTTTTCTTCCCTCCTTTCCTCCCCTTTCCTCTCCGTCTCTCTCTCTCTCTCTCTCTCTCTCTCTCTCTCTCTCTCTCTCTCTCTCTCTCTCTCTCTTTCTCATTCAACAAACTACGGGCGACGATTAGTCGCGGCTATTTCCGCTCCCGCGCGTTCGCCGACGCAAGGCGACGGCGAAACCTAATTTTCGGGTATTACCGATACTGCGCGGCCACGTGCGGCCCATTGTTCGCGCGTGCTCGTTACGCGCGATTTTTCCACGAGTCGCACGCGCGCCTAATTGCGAGACGCGCCCACGTAACGCATTCGCCTCGCGATCTCCTGTGTCAAAGCTCGACACGAGTCGTTCGCACGAATTAACGGCCGACGACGAGTCGCCGAGCATCGAGCTCCGTATATTTCGCTCGATCCGCTCCGTGTGTAATATCGACGAGCGATATGCGACGTTGATATATCTTAGGGGCGGTATAATTGATCTTAGACATAATTGATGAGTCGAGCTCGAGCTCGAGTCACGGCCGAGCTGAAGTAAATGGCTCATACTCGAAATACAGTGTGGATTCTTCGGGCGAATCGTCGACTCGTAATCGAAAAGAAACGCGTCTCGCGCTTCCTCGTTGGACGCGGAAACTTGAACGCGACGCTTGGATTTCCCCCGCGGAAAAAAGCGCGAGACTCGCAGCAAGGGGAAACCCGTGGCCCCGCGGATTGCGTAACGCTCGAAATCGACCGATGCGCGCGCGGTCGACCTGGAAATTAATCCGACATTAATCAAGCAGCAGGAAGCAGCACGCGAATTGTCAGAGACTCGCGGGATCATTATTAAGTCATTCGCCGAGAAGCAACTATCCCTGTTAGCGTGAGCTTCGCGAGCCAAGTCGCGCGGCTCGCGGTCGTTAGGACGCTATCGGGGAAACGACGTGGAATTATGAGCAACTGGCTTATAGCCGCCTGTAAGTTGGCCGCGCTATAAGCAACCCTCAATTGCACGAGCCCGCGAATACAGGTTGTGCCGCGCGACCGGCGGCGCACGTCGTAACGAGAAAATCGTGCGCAAATCGATATCATTACCAATTCAAACGAAGGACTCGCGTATCTACCACTACTGGTCATATTATAGTACTTTCCCGACTAATGCGTGTGTGTGTGTGTGTGTGTGTGTACGTGTGTGTTAAGCATACATGTATGCACATATATGCACATATGTGATAGGCGAGTCGCGCGATCAATGAAACCGTGATGACAGGGGTCATGGGAACACCGGGGATCGTCAATAAAACCATTTTATTTATGACACTCACATCCGTTACAAAGTCACAGCCTTATCGACGCTTACGATAGAGTATCAACACGCACCTACGTACACATCCATATTTTCGTGTGTCTCTTATGTACATATAAATTCTGCATTCTATACATATAAGTCGTTAAAGCTCATCATCATCATCATCATCGCCTTCTTCTCATTCTGTTTCTTCTTCTGTGTTTCCTCTTCTTTTTCATCGTCATTATATATTTTCGTCTTTACCTTCTCCTCTCTTACGAATCAACCCGTAGGAAAAACAAACGCATCCTCGTCGCTCGTCAGTGGAGCCCGGACGCGTTTGAGCAAAAGGTGCTGAAGAACGATCGGAAATAGAAGAACAGGCTTTCGGATGATCAGGCCGGTGCGATTTTATTGCTCAAGTGTCCTCGCGGCACCCGGGAGCCGCCAAAGTTCGAAGGCGGCGCGACGGGCCGCTATTTTCCCTCCCAGCGGAGGGCTGAGAGCCGCTTGTCCGCTAACTAATCTCTAACGGGTGCACCTTGACCGCGCGGAATATTGAACACCTACGACGATTAGCGCAAAAGTGACGACAACATCGAGTTAAAAATTCGGACCTCCCCCCCCGCACGTCGACGAGCGGCACAGGGAGGGTCCTTCGTGTTCTACGCGTCGTTTTACATCGGATCGAACCTCTCACGATTCGATTCGCCGATATGCGTGTACGTACGGCTCGGCCGTTTTTGAGTAGAATTGTACGAGAGAAGGAGAGAGAGAAGGTGTGTGTGTGTGTGTGTGTGTGTGTGTGTATGTGTGTGTGTATGTGTGTATGTAGTGTTGAGTTAATTGAAGAGATAAATTTAATCCTCCGGTTCTCCTCTCTCCAAGCCACCTTTCGCCCCTCTTCCTCGAGTGCGTTTTCCTCACTCTCTTATGATATAATTTCCTAAAATTGTTTCAGTGCACTCAAACATCGATTAGAAATATAAATTACTTCGTCAGTGGAGAGAGAGAGAGAGAGAGAGAGAGAGAGAGAGAGAGAGAGAGAGAGAGAGAGAGAGAGAAAGAATGGTACAAGCAGTGTACCACATATTGAGAATACAGCAAATTGAAAATAATTTATTGATCTAAAACAATTCACGACACGCCGGTAACGCGAATACCGTGCGAAGGTGTGATCAACACGAGTTATACCCGACACACGCTAATCACACACGATGAATGGAAAAGTCCTATTATTTCGGGCGTCGCGCTCTCTCGCGAGAACGAACGTTCGATAACGCGCTACACGATATATTGTGATGTATATATATATATATTTATTATATATATTTTTTTCTCTTTTCTTTGTACTACGTCATGTATTGCTATGCTCTATTTCGAAAGAGACAATGACGCGCGCTGCCTCCTAGCGCGACGAGACGAGGAAACAAGAGCACACCGTCGCGAGAACGCGAATGGAAACGAAATCGTGGGGGAGATCTGCGCGAAAGAACGCGGTGAACATGATATCGCTCGGTGATAATAAATAAATAAGTCGTGTCGCGCCTAAACGACGAACGAAAGCCGCGGGACTAAAGTCGGCTGAAGTGAGATCGAGGTGGACGCGAGTCGCGCGGTCGCGACGCGCCGCAAACGAGTGGACGATTCGTGGAAGACTAACCGGAAATAAATTACCGCCTCTCCGCCGCGCGCTGTTTCGCCACGTCACGATGACGGTCGCGGTGATCCGCGAGTCGGCGCGGCGCGGAGAGCTCCTCTTGCTTCTTCTCTTGTATTCTTCTTTTATTCAAAACCCGCCCCGTCTTCGAAATACGACGTCTCGAAAAATAAGGGAGCGCGCGGCGCGCCTCTGCGTGGAACGGATTAAGGAGGGATGCGTGATTAACCCTTCACCGGCAACACCAACCCCCGAGAGCGATCTGGCCTCTCTCGGCACCCTCGTGTGAGTAAATATTGCACTGGCAGCCGCGCGCGCGCGCGCGCGCGCGGCTGCGTCCTTCTTTCCATCCTCGCGAGCCCTCCGTCGAGAGTCCTTACGGCCGGCGGCGCGAGAGAAAGCGACGGTCGAGTGGCCGCGTGCGTCGTCGGTCAAGGGTTAAATGTCGTTTCGGCACACCGTGGGCGTGCGATTCTCCCGGGCCGGCTTGGCCCGGCTGTCGATCGCGGCGATCTCTCGATCGTGAGAGACGAACGGACGAGCGAGCGAGCGAGCGAACCTAACGACACGGACGTTAGATTATCATCTCGTTCTCCCTGTTCTCGTTCCTCTGGTTCTCCTCGTACTCGTCGCAGCAGCAACAGCTTGACGTGCAGTCCTCCGAGTTCTCGGCCACGTACGTCATGTACGTGTCGATGCTCTTTGTGTCCAAGGACGGCAAAGACCACGAGAGCGAGGTCGTCTCGAGGTCGGGTATGGCCGTGTGCCAAGAGCTGGGATTGTGCGACTTTTTGGCCTTGCGACTCCTGGTGGACAGCTTCTTGATCGCCTACGGAGCGAAGCATAAGCCTCTGGTAGCGGGAGCAGCAGAGAAAGCCGGGGGAGACGAGACGAGCAAACGAGACGGCAAAGGAGAGAACGAGCCCTCCTTCGCGTCGACGTAAGTTCCCGCCGTTTCCTCGGTAGTTGCGCGAAAGCCTGTCGAACACGAGAATACCGCCGCGACCGGTCGACCCGGGCCGACCTACGCACGAGGACATTGATCCACGATAATGATCTCGCGAGTGCAATCTCGCGCGGAGAGTCGATGGGAGGAGAGATGGCAAGAATCTTGCCATCGAGAATGGAAAAAAAAAAGCAAAAAAAAAAACTCACGAGAGCGCGCAAGAAGCATGTCCAGGATTCGGAAACTAGAACAGCCTCCCGATCGAGCGAGCGAAACGCCGGAACCGGCCAGCGTCCAGGTGACACCCGGGAAGAATTAGGTCGCGACCTAATCATGCGCGACGGAAACGTGCATGTATGCGTACGTCACGAGAGACAACGAAACGTCACGATCGGCGGGGAGGAATCATCGTTATCGTGTTGTCGTCGGCTTACCCGCAGGATCCTGCGGCCGGACTTGCTCAGCAACTTCTTCAGCATCGCGCTGAGAGACACCGACGGTGGTTTCCTACCTCGTGGCTCGGCGAACGCCTCCTCTCCTCGTCGACGCCTCCTCGTCCTCGGGGGTGAGGAAATGAGGCAGGGGGGGGAGAGAGAGAGAGAGAGAGAGAAAGAGAGAGAGAGAGAAAGAACGAGGCAGAAAGGCGGAGATATAGACAGATCGAGCCTCGTCTGATGATTTCTCTGCTGCGCTGCGCGACTGTATACGCGTCGGATTGATTTTCGGCCGTGTGCGCGAACGCCTGTTACCCGCCCTGCGCCTACGTTCACCAGCTCACGTCGGATCGATGCGAACGTCACGGCGTCACGCGACGAAATACCGCTCCGGAGCGGCGCGTCGTCCTATTTATAACCTCGGCCTGTGCCGGCCCGGACTCTGCCGGCGTCACCATCATCCCCCCGAGCGCGCGTCATGCCCGCCGTCCCTGCTCCGCCGTCGCCGCCGCCGCCACCGCCGCCGCTGCCGAGTGTAAGGGTGGCCGAGAACCCTTGCCCACCTCCACCCCCGCGTCACCAACCTGACTCTCGCCAAAGAGACCACGCGCGCGGAGATATTACCGCAAGCCCCGTGTGATCTCTCGGGAGGACTTCCGAGTTTGCGAGTTTGCGGGCCGCTTCAGGCGGCTCAAGCCTCGCGGAGGAAGGTGGTTTTAGACGGGGAAGGGGAGAGGTGGATGCCTGGCTAGACGGAGTAGGGAAGGATAGGTAGGTGGGTGGGCTAATGAGAGACCGGTAATTACAACCGCCGCGTCTCGACGCAACAGTAATTTCTACGGCGACGGGACTTGACTTGAATTATTCGCCAGCGAGCGCCGGGGAGACTCGCTTAATCCGCGAGTGATATTCGCTTTCGCTCGCGAGAGAATCCTCCGAGATGCAGACGGAGCTGGTGGAGCGACGCGCGGCCGCTGTAATCGCACGCCGCAAATAAGGAGACCGCAAACGAGTCCGACTGGCGACTACGGGGGGCCGATTAATCGATGCGATAGAACGAGAGATCGCACGCGTTTCGCGCGGTGCGTACGCTTTGTGAGTTTTGCGAACGGCAGAGCACGCGCGCCTGATGGCCCGTGGGGATCAAGCGCGAGAATAAGGGCCAATTGGATTAATGGTGCGCGCGGATGATCGACGAGAATCAATCGGCGATCGGTCGCGCGGCGGGTAGCCGATCGCCAAAACGCCGATTGCACTTTCGAGGCGGTCAATCAAGAGGGATTAAAAGTAATTAAAAACGATCAAGGATAAGGAAATAGAAGAAGAAAAGCTTAAGAATTAGAAGAAAATCTGTAGTAGAATATATAGTAGAATAAGCAGGGTTTTTCCAGACCACCCGGGTCACACCGATTTTTTCGTAAACGCGACATTTTAGAGAAAAATGTTTCAGACAAAAGTTGTAGAACTTCAAAGAATCTATTTACTGATGCTATTATGTGTACAACTTTGCTTCCTATAGATAGCCGTTTTCCTATAGATGACTTTAGCGGTAAGTAGTGGTCGAAATAAATAGATCATAGACGTCATGCAATAAACTTGGGCATCTGTCAACATAACCCCATAACATTAGTCGATTTGTGTCTGCATCATAAAGTTATTCTCGATTGAAAACGTCAGTTTACGAGCCAAATTCTCGTCATTTGCGGGAGGTTTAAATTTTCTGCTTCAATATGAAGAAATCTGCGGCTGAGGCTCATCGAATGCTCTCAAATACTTATGATGAGGCCGCTATTGAAAGAACGTGTCGTGAGTGGTTTCAACGCTTCAAGAACGGTGATTTTCACGTCGAAGACTGGCATAGCAGTGGAAGAGAGAAGGTTTTCGAAGATGCAGAATTGGAGGCATTACTTAATGAAGACTCGTGTCAAAGACAAGAAGAATTGGCACGATCATTGGAAGTGACCCAACAAGCAATTTCAAAATGCCTCGAAGACATGGGAATGATTCAGAAGCAAGGAAATTGGGTGCCGTACGAGTTGAAACCGAGAGATGTTGAACGGCGTTTGTTTGCTTGTGAACAGTTGCTTGAAAGGCAAAGATGGAAGGGATTTCTGCATCGCATTGTGACTGGGGACGAAAAATGAGTTCATTACGATAACCCCAAGCGCAGAAAATCATGGGCATATCCACGTCGACAGCCAAACCGAATATTCACGGCTCCAAGGTCATGCTCTGTATTTGGTGGGATCAGCTCGGCGTAGTGTATTATGAGCTGTTAAAACCGACTGAAACAATCACAGACGATCGTTATCGAACGCAATTAATGCGTTTGAGCCGAGCGTTGAAAGACAAACGGCCGCAATACAACGAGAGACACGACAAAGTGATTTTGCAGCATGACAATGCTCGACCCCATGTTGCGAAAGTGGTCAAGACATACTTGGAAACGTTGAAATGGGAAGTCCTACCCCACCCGCCGTATTCTCCAGACGTTGCTCCCTCTGACTATCACTCGTTTCGATCAATGGCACACGGCCTGCTTGACCAGCACTTCCGGTCTTATGAAGAAGTAAGAAATTGGATCGATTCGTGGATCGCTTCAAAAGATGACCAGTTTTTTCAACGCGGGATTCGTACGCTGCCTGAAAGATGGGAGAAAGTAGCGGTCAGCGATGGACAATACTTTGAATCATAAATGTATAACCAGTTTTTTACAATAAAGCCTCGAATTTCAGAAAAAAACGGCGGAAGCAAAGTTGTATACCTAATAACAAATTTTTATTACACCGTCTTTTTCCACCAATTAATTTGAACAACTTTTGTCTGAAACATTTTTTTATTTGCCTAATATTTTTTGAGATATTTAAGGATAACTTGACAACTTTTTCAATATTTAACTTACGATATCTCGCTAACTGTTTGTCGGAATAAAAAAATGGTACTAGACTTTTCTATTCTACTTGGTCTCAAGAATATATTGTTATAATAGCGCCCTGACTTTCGTTAATTTGATGATTTTGAAATTTCGAAAGATCAATAAATTAACAAATAATAGAGCATTATTGTACCAATATATTCTTGAGACCAAGTAGAATAGAAAAGTTTATCAAAAGTTAGTACCATTTTTTTATCCCGACAAACAGCGAGATATCGTAAGTTAAATATTGAAAAAGTTACCAAGTTATCCTTAAATATCTCAAAAAATATTAGGAAAATAAAAAAATGTTTCAGACGAAAGTTGTTCAAATTAATTGGTGGAAAAAGACGGTGTAATAAAAAATTGGAGTTTCCATTTAAGATTTTTATGTTGATCTTGACTGGGCTTTTCAAGGTCATCCCAAGGTCAAATTTATAGCATCAGTAAATAGATTCTTTGAAGCCCTACAACTTTTGTCTGAAACATTTTTCTCTAAAATGTCGTGTTCATGAAAAAATCGGGTGATCCGTGTGGTCTGAAACACTCTGTATAATAAAAGGAAGGAATAGAATATATAATAATAATAAAATAATAAAAAGTAAAGATGGTGTATTTAATGGACATAAAGAAAATATTGTGGATGAGTAAGATATAACTAAGGAACGTTTAAAAACACAAGAATTAGGTATAGGATAAAATAACAGTAAAAGAGCTAGACTGAAAAAGGTTAAATAATAATATACTGAAATGTTAATGTAAAATATAAAAAGTTTGTTTCGGGTTATAGAAGAATAGGATAATGAAAAGGAAACGAGCGCGAGGAAAGAATGGACGAATGAATGAGGTTAAGGTCATATTGTAAACCAAGCCCTTCCTGGCTGTGATTTAGCTGAAGAATAAATATACGTATTCTCTCTCGCTTCCGAGGCAATCGTTTCCTCGCAGATCGAACTTCCAGTTTCTCGTCTCGATCTTTTGCCGTCTCTCTCGGTACGAACATTCTTTCATCGCCGATTATGCGTCGAGGGCAAACCGAGTTTGCCGAGAGTTTAATCGTCAAATTAATCTGTGCTGCCCGAATATTAGTCAAAGATACTCGAATGATCTCATTACTTCTACACGCGCCTGGATCTTTTTCTCGCAGATTGAAGTTCGAGCATCATCTCGATCTCTCGTCATCTGCCGATGTAATCGATCTTTAATTATCCGCCCGTGAAACATCGTCGAATGTGCCTACACTGCGCGATTATTAGTTACACTTTGCACTGAGCGTCAAAGACGAAGCTCGAGTCGCGTGTACATATACACACGCGTCCACGTGCACGCACGTGTACCGCCGATACGTGCAAATAAGGAAAACCATCGCGAAAGATTATTTAGAGTAGGGAGAGAGGAAAAGAGAGATTGGCGCGAAGAAAAAGAGGCCAACGCGAGATGAAAAGGAGGAGGCGCTATATCAAAACACGCTCGAGAGCATTGGTAATTCCGCTCGTCGAGACTCCGAGATCGTATCGATTTCGTCGCGCATGTTTGCCGAAAACGATCGAGAACGACGCACACGCGTACACACGTGCGTGCACGTGCATTCCGCATGTGTGCGGCTTGCGAATGCGGCGCTCCGTCGATCTGTTATCAATTCCCTCGTGTCCGTCCGCCGAATGTAACAAATAATGCGACCGATCCCAGTTTCGTTCGTGCGCGAAATAAAGGTGGGCGAGCGCTCGTGGGGTTCCGTCTCGCAATTAGCGAATGATTACACGACGGGCGCTCCAAACGAGACCGAGTCCGTCGTCGTATTCCATCTCGTGTTATCCGCGTGTGATATAAGGCCGCTCATGTGCGACGCCAGCGCGGATCGATTAAACGACAAATCATTTTAACGAATTATCTCCTCCCTCGTCGCGTTCAACGCGCGAGACGCCAAATTCAATCGGCGAAGCGCCGCTTCGCGAGAAGTCGAATGTGAATAAATCGCGTAAATCCCGGAGAGAGAGAGAGAGAGAGAGAGAGAGAGAGAGAGAGAGAGATGCGTGAGAGATGCACTCTCTCTCTCTCTCTCTCTCTCTCTCTCTCTTTCTCTCTCTCATTCCCTTTTTCCTCTTTCTCGCGCTGCTGCGTGTGCAGCACACACGTGCGCGTCGTGTGCGTGTGACGCGTGTGAGCGGGGCCGTTCTCACGCGGCGGCACGCGCCGCTCCCCCTCTTTCCCCCTCGCCGCCCTCCGCCGGCCGACGCACGCTGCACGCCGGGCCACGTGCCACCCCCGGGTGCCCCCACGGAAAACTCATAATTGTCATAACATTCGAGCGCACCGTCGCCGAGCGTGGAAAGACCGACGCTCCCCGGAATTGAATTCATAAGTGCACTTCGGCTCATCAATGCGGTTCCGACCTACACCGATAAATCTCCCCGGCCCCCTCCCCTCTCGCTCCCACGCATTGTCTCGGAGTTAAAATCGCGCTTTGTCGCTTTGAGGGTTTGATCGTTTTTTTTTTTTTTTCGGAAGAACAGCGGTGTTTCTCCTTCGGCAGTTTTTGTGCGAAGAGAGACTCTCAAGATGTACGGTCGATTTAGGCAGATAATGAGACAAACAAGAGCTGGTGCCCGCCGGGTGGCATTTCATCAACAAAACACTGTTTTACATGTTATTATTCGAGAGAACGTCGCGATCTCATCGTCTGAAACCTCTTGAGCGAGAAACAGCAAAAAATCTGAATACAAAAAATAATGTTGCATTTAAACATGAGGAAGCCTCTCAAAATAAAGTTTCCCCGCTTTATTTCCTCGTGCTTAAATTTGACATTTTTTGTGTTGCAAATATTCACTTTTTACGGAGCCCCTTTGTGATATTTATATTTATAAATAACGACACGTTGTCGCGTCATCAACAAGCTTTACCGCTGCGCTACGTTTGTAACACTGAGAACCTTCGTCTGTTTGGCAAATCTAAGGAATCACGTCTGCCTGGCAAGTGATTTCTCATTTTTCTTACCTTTGATTATTACTATCGGTTGCCAATTTTCAATCAATAGCCAACAAATGCTGCACACTCTGATGTTCGTTCGACTTTCTGACGTGACGAATATCCAGCTTGAAATCCGACTTTGATCGCAAATAACTACACTACGTAAAGCGCTGTTTCATCATATCAATCAAATTTCGCTCAAACGTCCACACTGGCTCCTCACTTGCCTTGTGTCTTTTTTTAGATGTTGCTCGGAGTGTTTTACATACGGTTACGGCGATAAGGCGACACGAACGAAGACGGACGCGGTATTTTTGATCGGTATTTTTAATCACCGGGTTGAAAGTTCAGTTAATAAACATCGCACAGTCAATGCCGCTTATCCGGCGACTGAAGTTCGCGTTCGGGAGAGCGTTATCGCGAGCCGATAGCCGATAGCGGCGATGAGGTAATGAAATCACGGAGATACCCGTCGCCGATGCTTTCGCGAGAATACGACGCACATCTGCCTGCTCTGGCCTATCCAGCGAATACATACATACGTCAAAACACAAATGGACCGTATCATGGCGAATCAGGCTCGCGCGGTCGCGCGAGCGGCGCCTCGTAATCCACGTAATTCGCGGACGCGCGAATCTGTCTCGTGATTCACTCCACGCAATTATTGCAACGCACTCGCTTTCCGTAGCGCGTCAGCTCTAATCATTTTTGCGCCGAAGGCGAGGGGAAACAATCGCCGTCGGCGACGGGGCGTAACGAGCGGCGCGTGGCGCGGTCGCGTGGCTACAAATGCGTGCTCAAACATCGCGGCTCGGCGAAAATAAGTCCGGCCTAATTGAGGCGACGCGACCGTTCCATTAGAGATTAGACTTCAAACGAAGGCCCGGTCCTTCGCGAGGACTATGCGCGATTAATTAACAACGCGAGACAACCGTGTCTCGCCCGCCGAGAGCCCTGTCGGTTTTCGGCCCTCGGCGAGCGAACACGCGCGACGTCTCGTTCGCAGGGAATATAATTATATTCCCTGGAATTATGTTATAATTTACGCGACCCGGCTCGCGTGAGAGAATTCAATTTGCGATTTCGTACGCTGCGTGAAGCCGACGTGTTTGAGGATCCACCGCTGAGTATTCATTCATGAATATCACATGAATGTCCCGGGCCCGAATCTCTGGCGAGGTATACATCGCTCGATCACCGATCGGAATGCAACGAAAGCAGCGGGTTGGGGGTTAGGTCATTTTTAGGTCGCGAAGTTTGGAATTTGGTGTCAATCGACAAGATCGATTCCGTCGTCAACTACGAGAAATATGGATCGAATGGCGGTACTAAGAATGAAAAAAGAAGGCAAAATTGATCGACTCACCGTCAATCGATGCCGTTGAGCTCATCGGCGTTCATGTCGTCACAGGATTGCACTGCGCGCGCTCCCGGGGGAGGGAGGGGTCAGGAGGTCACGATAATTGCGGTCGCTAAGTTGCTCATCACACGTCGCGCGGCTTTGCAACACTAATCGCGCGACGATCCTTCGTCTCTCAAATGCGTCACTGAATTGCGTGAGCGCCGATACGTAAATATTTAACACGCGACACACTCGTCTTCTCGTAAATATTTATCCAATCGCGCGTCATGACATAATCGACACGCACCGCGAACGAATTTGAAGATAGCAACAACAATGGAGGAAATGAAAACAACATGGAGGACAGGAGAATCGATTAACGATCGACTATCGATCACAGTCGGTAATAACAGGGCGATTGTCACCGATAAATCTCGAGTACGATCGACCGATTCGCTCATCTCTCGAGTCTTTTGTTGACCTCCGAACCGGAGCCGTTGGTTTTCGTCGCTGCGAAACTACGCTTGATTGTTGTCTGTTGGGACTGCGTACACGCAGTCCTTGTTTTTTGTGCCACACTTCACTCTCACTTTTCTTATCTATTATCTTAATTTATCGTAAAATGGCATTTGGGAATTCGCCTCAACAGACGCCGGTAGCCGATATCGAAGGAAGGAAGGAAGGAAGGAAGGCTCATCTCTCGTATTATTTTTTCCCGCGCAACGTAACCCTCGCTCACGAATATTGCGTTAATTATAGCGTATCGAGACTAATGAAAAAAATAAGTGAGATGAATGAACATGTACACGCAAATTGAATAACAAATGAATGTTATCTAGCAAATATATTATAATTTTAACACGCTATGCAACCAGGTTACGAGAGTTTCCCAGCCGCACGCAATATCGATTATTCAAATCAGCGATCCGTCGCTGTGATGACTTTACGTGAATTAAAATTACATTGTAACTTAATCTGAATGTTTACGAGGCTCGCGGGAACCTCGTTAGCGGCTAGTGTTAAAGGTTAAAAAATACTAGTAACCTAATTGTTTCGCGTGTTAAGTCGATTCGTGTAAGCAAGATGAAAAGATTGAGGAAAATTTCGACCGATCACGTCCGTGATATTCGGCGCAAGAAACGAAATATCGTAAAACGTATGTAGAATTTGGTATTTAATAAATTATATCCACGATTCGCTCAATGCGACGCTGTCCCCGTCACGTTTGCGTCAAACCGCGTAAATATCTTCGTCGAGCGTCACGCGAGAGAAAAATAAGGAGGACTGTTTGTCCGCGCGAAAGGATTATCGTACAGAACCGCCGATTAGGAGGTTATTAATAGCCCCGAAGATAACAATAGATCTGTATGCAATACGGCTGTGACAAGCGAGAGAGCGTATGTACGCACGCGCGCGCGTCAATCGGAATAAATAAATGAGGAAGGGTAGGTTGTTCCAACTTCTCGGTGAGTTAACCGATAGTTAAATCATATGTTTGTCTTTATTTTTCCTTCAACTTAGACAAAGGCAGACATATGATTTAACTATCAGTTACATAACTTACCAACCAAGTTGAAACAACCGGACCTTGGTAAGTTAAATGATGGTTAAATCACATGTGTCCGCCTTCGTTTAACCCTTTGCGGATTGCGGAATTTTTCCTTAACTCCAATTCCCAGCAAGTCGAGCATATTCTCTATACAAAACAAAATTATACATAAAGACTTGAATATTGGAATAAAAAGATAAAGAAAAATATATATTGCTTTATGAAAATCTTCGCGGATAACTTCGCGATGCCTTAAAGCATCGCACGGCTTTCTGAGGAGTACATGAGTAGCGATGACTATAGTCATCTCACGGACTTAGAAGGTTAAATTGAAAATGAAAAACAAAGATAAACATATGATTTAACAATCAGTTAACTTACCAAGAAGTTGGAGCAACCGGTCCTAAATGAGAAAGGGTAGGTTGCTCCAACTCCTTGGTAAGTTAACTGATAGTTAAACCACCAATATCCGTCTTCGTTTAAATTGAAGGAAAAACAAAGATAAACATGCGATTTAATTATCAGTTAACTTACCAAGAAGAAATTGGGACAACCGGCCCTGAGAGATACGAATCTCGTTCGAGAGACGATCATCGAACGCAAGTGTCGACTCACCGTGGGAAAAGCAAGTTTCTCGGGGGTGTCGCACGCACGACAGACGCGTGCCAAATGGGACGCTGACGGGCGGACAAAGAGCGGGAATGTAGACATTGGCCGTTTGCGTGTACTAATTCTCGGCTACTTGCTTGTTTGCCTAACGTGCTCATCACCGGCCAACCGACGCGCTGCGAAAACGAGTCGAGTCGAGTATAAGAAATATATTTATACGAGAAATACAACGAGAACGTAATGTCATTTGTGTTAACAGCTACATAGAACATATTTCTTTATTAGAAGATACAAAAATAGCGATCTCCTGGGCTTTTCTGCAGCAGGAAACTCGCTCTTACGATATAATACATAGTTAAATAATATTTCATCTCTGTTCTAACGCACGTGCAATTGTCAAAAATACAATGGCGCTCTTGGCGTGACTTGTTAGCACCCATACATCGCGCGCCTTCGTTCACATATTATTATATAGAGTACGTGTACCTGCACGTATACAACGAGACTAGTACAACAATTAAGTCAGTGGATCGACTTCTGTTGGTCTTCTGCAACGGCGAATCTACTTGGATATTTATTTAGAACAGAACATCACATTTATACAAATATAATTCTCACCTTATTCATCGAGCAAAGGCACATGCAGCTCCGCCGGATCGTAGGGAATCGTCTGCTCGTTACCGGGTAACAATATAGGGATGACCTTAGCACGAAATTCGTACGGCATGAAGTCGCGACAGAAGTTGTAGAAGTCGTTGCGAGTGTTGATGATCTGCAAACGGGCCATCTCCTTCATCAGGGCATCCAGCTCGGATTTGTAGCTGCCGTATTTTTTACGCCGTAAGATCAGACTGGTAACCTCGTTGAACTCCTTAATGAACTTCTCGGACCGTACTCGCGTCGACAGCTTGTACTTCGGTTCCATGCGTTTCCACAGGAACTTGTAAAGGCGATCCGTGGCCCATTGCTTTGGACGTGGAAGCTTCGGTGCTTTGTATACCTTTCCGTTCACCAGGTACGCCTCGTTCACTTTCTTCGCAAGATCGGTGGCCAATTTTTTCTTCTTCGCAGCTCCACCCGGAACACCAACGGGCTTCATGTTCAAACGTCTCTTATCGGTTTTATCGGTCCTGCCGTGTGTCTTACTCGTGGTTGCTTCACGATTTTTCATGATCTCCAACTGCTTTTTAATCTCCCGCATCTTCTCGGCATTAAAGATCGATGGTACCAGGCGCTGCTCGTTCGACGTGGCCTGCTTCTTAGCTGTCGAAGGCCGTTTCGTCTTGAAGAAGAAGTCTATCGTTTTGTTGGATGAGGTTGCATTTGTCTTGTTGATACTGTCATTGCTTGTCGCTTTAACGGGTGTGCTGCGTTGACTTTGAAGCCTGCTCGATTTTGTAGGCAAAGTATTCCTATTCTCCTTAACGTAGGTTTTACTGGAGTCTGGCGCCTGCATCGACCCACTCGTTAAGGATTCTTGCCGAGTTACCATTTTATTGCTTGCTCGATCTCTCGACGAAGTCGCGAGAGACGAATCTCGCGGATTTGTGCGCATCGTCGGTGTTGCTTCTTCGTCATCAGACATCAATGCTTCTTCCAATTCTGTGGATTTGCCAACTGTCACACTCGCATGTTTGTCCACAGAAACATTCTTCGAATTCCTAGTTGAGTTTCCCGTCCGTGAAGCACTACGCGTCTCTATGTTGGAATGCGGTGTCATATTGTCGGAATGTACACTACTGTTGTTTGAACGCGCCGACCGTCTGCGTAATTTTGATGCAAGGGAACCTCCGCCAAAACTTTTGATCCTTATCGCCGCATCGTCAAGTGAACTATTAGTTGCAGCTCCAACCAACTCCTCATCAATGTCCGACCTGGCAACGAGCGACGTCCTACCTACCGATGCACTGTCTTTCGAAATCTCTGGTACATTTCCCACAGACCCGTGCTTTGATAATTGTTTATCGGATGATATAACTGTCACATTCTTTTGAGAGACCGATTTCTGTGCATCCGCGTCATTCGAGACGTTTATGGGCTTATGTTGTTCCAAATCTATGCATAGGTGGTCAGAATTTTCTTTGTCATTAATGATCGAGGATGAACGACTGTGAAAAAGGAATCCCGAATCGTTCGCCATTCTTTCATTCACAACTGATAAATTCGACATCATGAAAGATTTAACTTTATCGCGCTGCGCGACTACACTTGGCAAAGGAGAAGTACGATTTCCAATCAGCATACTGCTATTATCTTCCACATTGTCTTTGTCTTCTTCGACTATCTTCTTGAATAGACTCGAGTCTGAGTTTTTCTGGAATACACGTTTCATAATCGCTGTTTTTGGCTTGAGAGTTGGTCTTTTGTCGAGAACGTTGTTAACATCCGTTGGTAAACTGGTTGACATGAGGTCTTTCATTTCATCTTGCGTTTCCTTATTTAATTTCTTAAATGCTTTGAAGAACTTTGATCTAGGACTTGTTGTCACCACTGAATTCTTATCCGCGACATTATTCTTCAAACTATCAGCAGATATTTCCGGAGAAATGCGTAACGAGATTCTTGACGTCTGAGGTTCTACATCACGAGTATTGATTACTCGAGACTGGTTATTCTGGTCTCTACTTTTTGGCAAACTAACATCACTATTATCAACGAAAGCATCTTCAAAAGCATTCGTTTCTTTATTCTTTTGCAGCTGTGTTAATAATTTAGATTTATTTTTTACAACTTTATCGACATCTTCGTTCTCATAACTATTTTGCATTGCCTCATTAATATTGGATGCAGAATATCTCTTGATCATTGAACATTGTGCTTTTGATAAACTTCTCCGAGAAATTGATGAATGTAAATCATCAGTATGGCTTTTATTTGAATTTTTACTTTTTGCAGTTGGATGTTTTACAAATTCATGCAATGATTCATTATTGTCGAAAATATGTGTTTCCTCTGTTAACTTATTCTGAAAGATATTACTTGTCTCTCTAGACATTTTTCTTCTTGAAATCTTTACTCTTTGTTTCAAAGGAATATCATCTATTGAATCTTCGCTATCTTTCTTTCCTTCTTGTAACTTCCTTGATGTAATTTTTCTATGGACAAGATTGTCCAAACTTCTTTGTGTCAAAGGAATATTATCTAGTCTTAAATCTTCGTCATCTTCCTTTCCTTCTTCTAACTTCTTTGATGAGATTTTTTTACGGTGAGGATTGTTCAAACCATCGGATGTATGAGTCTCTTTATCTAATCCTTGCAATAAAGTATTTTCTTCTGTAGTATTTAGTGCACTTAAGAAATTGTTATTTCTGCTCTTTCTATTTGCTAATTTCAAAGGAGCTTTCCTCTTTTTTATATAAGCTGTTTTCTCAGACTCAGATGTTGTCTCCAAAATGTTAGTTTTCACAATATCTGTCACAATATTAAAACAAAAAAATATGTATACATATACAAAATATCTAAAAATTCAAAGTACATTCTTTATGTGTTCATGCTATATAAATTTACTTCTATTTAATTTTGATCATACTTGCACTCATATTTCCTGTTATGTTGGTTGAATCAGCAATTGTCATGTCAGAAAGATTCAAAGCTATATTCCTTGATTTAATATTGCTATTATTCTTCGATTTGTTAAATACTTCCCACCAAGGACTTTGGTTTTCATCTTCTGTAGAAAGAAGAAATTTGAGCATATGCAAAATATATTTATAATCAAGATATTTTACAAGTTAAATATATTCATAAATATCATAAAAAAGAAACTATTCTCAGTTCTAAAACTATTCTATTTTTCATACAATCTTTTCAAATTTCTTCACAGAGAATCCTGAAGACTTACTGAAATTTCTTTAGGTTTCATCACTTAATTATCAAGGAAAGTATACACAAAGTTACAAAAATTAAAACATCTTAGATTTAGTCATGTGACATTTTTTTCACGTAGGTAGACAGCTTATACCATGAAACAAAATAATGAGGAAATAATGTTTACCTTTGCTCACATTGCTCGAGTTGCTCGTATCCTGATCGAGAATAGCAGATGTAGGAAATAAAGAACTTTTAGAACTATTTGTTTGTATCAACTCAGACATGTTTAATGTAATTTGACTTATACGTAAGTTGATAAAGTAACTTCTCGAGAATCGATGTTATTCTTATTTATAACTGAAAATAACTTAAAAATGCTTGCTCTCAATAATTTCGATGGAACACTTATCCAATTCGCTCACTTTTATACTACGTATAATTCATAAGATATATTTCTTATGACGGTTGTTTAGATAGAGATAGAAGTAGAGAGGTTGGCTTTATATAACAAATTTCTAGAAGGGTTTCCTGCAGAGACAAGATGATACTAACGACCATTGGCGTTACAGGCGCTACAGAACTTCTTTATTTAATAACCTACTGTCGGTAAATCTTGTGTCAAATCAGTATCGACTGTACAAAAATTATTTATAAAATTAATACTTTATTGTACACTTAAGGTGGTTTAGGTATTTATATTTGCAAAATATACTTTTTTACAGGAGCTATTTGAATATCATATAATTTTACTGCACCGAATGCAAAAAAATTAATATTACATTTATTGTAACAAAATTACTTTAAGTAATAATATACATTAAATATATATTAAATAATAAAACATAAGTTAAAGTGGTCTGTACAAAATAAATATAAGTTCATTGTTTCTGTCTTTTGTTGCTCAGGCCGCCGTCCTGATCATCAGTTTGAAAGATAGTCCTTGGTTGCGTCCTCTTGTATGCTGGTGCGATCCAATATGGCTTCTCTTCTGCTATCTTAGCATACTTAAGAATAGCTTCTCTAGGATCTTGATCATCCTCTATTCTCTTGCTTAGGCCAAGATTTCGGATAACATAGGAACTGAGTGTTCCTCCTGATGATGCTACTCTACCACCTTGACCAGAAGTAATAGGCAGATCAGGACGTCTTGATTTAACGGGATCCAATCTGTCTTTCTCCATTTGCTTACGAACTGACTTGGGTCTGTCCTGACGAAATAGAGGAAGCGCGTGAGGTGTTATAATTTGCTGCGTAGACATTATTTCAATATGTTTCTGCTTGGTATGTGTTTTAACAACACACAGCTTGGCGCCTCTCATGCTCTTTTTAGGATCGTAGTACACCTTTACAATACCATTGCCACAGCCAACAAATACTTGATTTAATTTTGGATGCCACAGAGTCTTGATCACATGTGAATTCGTTACAGAGATCTGATTGACTACATCAAATGTTGTGCTATTGTAAAACAACATCTTGCCATTCTGTGCACCTTTATTCAAGGACTGTCCTGTAACCACCATCGTGTCATCTGGACTAAACATACAGTCAGTTGTGTTGTAACGTGAGAACAAATCTTTTGCCACAAAGATTGGTGATTTGAACATCCGCAAGTCCCATAATTTTAAAGTGTCGTCGCAAGCTCTACTAGCCAGCATCTGTTTGGTGTAGGAAAAACTCAGGCTTGATATCTCAGTGTGCTGTGTGTGTGCACCACGTGAAACCAAAGAAGGAGTCACAAAATTTTTTCGCTGATCCCACATTTGAATTGAACCATCTATGCATCCACATGCAATCACAGTACCATCTCGACTATATGTACAAGTGGTCGGTACAGTCTTTACACCATTCTGTGCCCTGCATCTTATCAAACTCTTATGACAGCGTGGACTGTTCAGAACCCATATCCGACATGTACTATCCTGAGAGCAAGTGAGATACTGTTCTTTCGAGAATGGATGCCAACTGCCACTGTTCAGACTGGCAGTATGACCTTTGGTACGCGACATGTCTATAAGATACTGATCACCTTTTACTGTCTCACACTTTTCGAAACCATCCCGGTCCAGAACCTTGGCCTGTGCTGCTCCCGATACCACTAATATCATGTCGCCTGTGGTTGAATACTGTAGGCATTTAATAGGATGATTTTCACATGGTTGCAAGGTTCTGAAACTCCTCATGGACGAGTCCATACCTGCAAAGTCCCAGAAACATACATCGTAGTCAACGGATCCTGAGGCTAATCGAGCGCCAGAGGGATCCGCGGCGATGGCAGTAACAGCTTTTGTGCCATGCGTCATTATCACTTCGTGAGTGCATGGTATTTTGTTAGGCGATTCATCGTCGGACGATTCTTCATCCTCATCGTCTTCGCTATCGTTTCTTTTCTCTTCCTCACTTGTGTCTGAAGTTTTCGTCCTTGAATCGGGAGACAGCGAAAGTGGTATCGGTGGACCGATCAGGTCATTTTCGTCGTCATTCTCTTTGCTCTCATCCTTTTTGGATTCCGCAGTTTCGTCTGCAGGTTTCTCTTGTTGGAGAGCTGCTGCTTTGTTGTTCTCGAGAGTTTGTCTAATATTCTGCATCATCTCCTGAATATCAAAAACTCTCGCCTTTTTCGACATCGTAACTGTGTCCAACCTTGCACAATCGTGTTCTCAAGCGTTTTGATCAGCGTTGCTACACAACTATTCTTTTTCGCTGCACTGCTGCACTGATGCAATAAGTAGAGTGAGACGAAGGCCGCGTTCCGTTTCACGCATATGCGTGAATATGCGCGTTTATATATAGTTCATGTTACGTATACTGTAGAAGATGCGCGCATATTGCGTGAAACGGAACGCAGTCATATATATATTTGTTTTAAGGCTCGTCTACAATAGCTGTAACAGTAAAGGCTCGTCTACAATAGCTGTAAGAGCAGAGAGTAACCTGAGAGCGGCCAATACGACATTTTCTGCGACACCGACTTTACGCACTGGGAAAGGACGCCATCTGCATCCATTTTGAGAAGGGAACTACGATAGTACATCCACTTTCAGGTCTCGGTGGTAAAATCTGCATATGGTGGAAGTCCATGCTACATCCACTTTCAGGCGGTTTATGTCCGTGCTGCAATGACAGTTGCCATCTCTATGCCAGACTATGGCCGGTGGTCTAAAAAGAGCGGGGGAGAGGGGGAAGGAGCAGAAAAAATAAAAGTACGTATTAAATGTTAAATCTTCGAATATATATTGCCGTATCAAAGTCTCTTCTATAATAAACAATTTGACATGTATGGAGACGCATGATGTATCGTTGCCCGCGTCCCGTTCACTTCGTCTTGTTTTTTAATTCAGCATCCCGTCCGCTCCGGACATTCGCTCGTGGCACTGACAGTGGCCGTCGGTGAGCATTCGATCCTCTCGGAGGAGCACATGTTAATTAACGCGACGAGACTCCAATTATAAATATCCCGCGAGTCGACGAAATATTTGAACTTTTAAAAAAAGCATCAAAGAAAATCACGTTGATGTTGTTATGGGTGAAATCTCACCCTGGTGTATATTTTTTTATTTTCGAAATAAAAAATGTCAAACGAATGCAATTAAATGTTATTTATTATCATTGAATATTAGATGAAAAGTAGAAGACTTATTGTCCGCAGCGGATAATCTAACATTTAATAAGAACGAGACAAAATTCGCATGTCAATAGAGACGGTTTAAATTCGGCGTAATATGATTCTTGGGACAGACGTAAAGTATTACGAAGTTTGAAGCGAATCTCTCACAGGCATGCTTTGAAAATACGAGTTGTTTTCATTTTCAGCTAACGGACGACGCAGGCATCAACACTGATCGGCAAAGTGGGGGGTAACCGTGCCTTCCCGATTGTTTGTTTTCATACGCTTATACATGACTCCGTGATTGCGGAAAGGACATTGCGCCTCGGGCCGACGAACGACGCGCATACCGCGACGCAGAGTACGAGTGTCGGTAGTCGTATCGGTTAATACGCGTTTCTTTGTCCGAATCTTACTTGCGCGAGTGTTAGAGCTAGAGTCAGTGTCGTCGCCAGTGCTACGATGGAGTATCCGGGGGTGCTGCGACGGAGTAACCAGAAGGAGGATGTCGGATCGAGAAGTCAGGATGCAGAGAAGACTTGGAGCGCGCCGAGAGACGTGGACAGCGATACATCATATATGGTATTCGAGGTATCTCGAGTCATTATTATTACGCAAGATTTTTCTGATTTTAACGGACCTTATTCGAAGTAAGGACATACCCGAGTCGAAATTAGATCAGCATTCATAGTTTATCATCTGAAAAATAGCTTGAAATTTGATTATTCGTTAAACTAATTTCACGTAACATGAGTTCTACTTTTCTTTTCTCATAAAAAAAAATAAAATATGAATGTCTATTCAAGCAAGGTTGCTAAGGCAAGCTAAGGTTTATGAATACAAATTTGTAATTATGTTCTCAATGAAAAATTGCACATAATTTAAAAAACTATGAATAATGATCTTAGAATCTGATATAAATTTTACAAGTATTGATTTTTATTCGTCTAATAATGCTCAGATTGCTGTTTCCCTTTAGAATCTGCTAGAATGTCCGTTTCTCATTCTTGTTTATCTTTCTTATTGTACCGAATTAGAATTAAAATCTCTATTAGTGAAACAGCATTATTAGACATAACCGTTGTCTTTTTGCAGCTTCAGCTCTTTTGAGAGCTACAATTCTCATCATTCTCATTAGAAAAAAGAAAAGAAAAAAAAGAGAAGAAAAAAGAAAAAAGAACTTTAAGAATGATGAGAATAAAAAGTGTTTTTCATCTCCCATTTCCTCTAATTCTTATATGATTATTTAATCCTTATATATTTATCTCACGCGCAGTTCTAACAAAGACAGTTCTATTTACGTGTTTATCTTTGTTCTCTTTCTTGCGCTGTTAAGCAAATATATAATCAATATCAACAAAAATTGCTCATTTAAATTAAGAATATAAGGATTAAGTACATATACATTATCGAGATAAACGAGTATTAAATAACTGCGGAATACGTCGCTGTTGAAGACTCATCATGGGCGAGACTGCGAGAGTAGCCAGATGTAACGTTCAGGTAAGACAAAGCTTGTCCACTATTGCGCATCTAGATATTCTGCAATGATTTTTCAAATTGGATGCAATTTGCAGGATCAATGTAGAATTAATATTTCGACTCGGGAAAGACTCGGGAATGAGAACGAATTGTCATTGCACTTGGACAATCTTCTGACACTGATTTATGGTATTGATCGATATTCGATTTTCAGTACTGATTTACTCTTTCATTCCTCTACAAGAAAACAAAATTGATACGACTCGTTCATATATCCGCGTTAATTTGATGAATAAATTAAATATTGATCGGTCTTCAATTTTCGGTACTGATTTATTCTATCATTTCTCTATAAGACAAGAAAAATTGATACGAAGCAATCGTTTATTCCAGTTAATTTGTTGAGTAAATTAGAAAGATAAACACCCGAAACATGAGAACAAATTGTCATTGCACATGGACAATTTTCTGACATTGATTTACGGTATTAATCGATATTCGATTTTCGGTACTGATTTACTCTTTCACTTCTCTATAAGAAAACAGAAAATTAATACGAATCGTTCATTTATCCGCGTTTGTTTGATGGAAAAATTACGTATTGATCGGTCTTCGGTTTTCGGTACTGATTTATTCTCTCATTTCTTTATAAGAGAAGAAAAATTGATACGGA